TTGTAATGCGTCAGACAAACGTAATTTGCATACCAATCGCCGTTGACTGCCACAATGATATTTACAAGATTAGTCTGTCCACATATTTTTGTATTAAGTATATAACGGGTGGCTGTCTTCAATGCCATCTTAAGAGTGTACCTAAGGGTATCTCGTTCTCTGGTAACCACAACCATTTATTACATGGCTTCATATGATCAGCTGACAAATACAAGTGGACACAGAACAAAGGAAACAATAGATTACCTCACTTACTATTGTTTCCAACCCCAAGCTGTGAACTACTTAACATAACAACATACTCTCAATTAGGCTAAACAATACACCTTAAAAGTCTATGACATCATCCGTTGTCTTGAACAATTTTGCATGTAATTATAGTCACTGCAATGGGATAGACAGGAAATCTCTACTTGACCAGATTCTATTGTCTATTTCTGGCAATGAATCTAAAAACATTGCATAAAAGTATACCAGCAAAATTATTCCAAAAAAAACATTCAATCAGACCATAGGTACAGGTGCCACTATTGGTGTTGAGTCAAAGCATGTATACAAGACAGAATTTTCTACATTGAACAAATTGATTGGTCCAACTATAAGGTGTTAAAACTGGGTAGCCAATCAGGCACATTGACTCTAAAATACATTGTAGAATCTCAAGCAATAACACTAGAGTGAATTTGCATCTTCTTTTCACACTATTCTAAATTTCATCAAATTAAACAGGAAATGTATTTTGACTTGATACAAGATAAACACTGCACACAATGTATGTACTTATATTCAGGGATATTTGCATAGCTTAACAAGAAAATTTCTTAGTTCCGCTGTTCATATACATGTAGATAATTGCCACTCGATGTCTGTCATTCATCAACAATTGCATTTTCAACTTTTTTTTCTGAAAACTACCAGCGCTTTGATACTTTGTATGTAGGTACCTTGGGAGGAACTCTGTCAGAATTGTTCAATTCGTCACAATATCTGCAATTCTCTATTTTTCGCGATTAATTTTTTGGCTCAACGGACCATAGGTCTGGTCTGTTGAGCCTATGGGATGGGTTTCTGTCCTTCGTCTGTCTATCTGTCTGTCTGTGCACAACTTCTTCTCAAAAACCGCTGAACCATTTGACTCGATTTTTGGTGTATGGATGCCTTGATGAGTGTAGATGGTAATTTGTTCATGAGAAGTCGATCTGCCAACAATCATGCAAATTAGCCCCTCAAAACTCTACTGTGTCGGTCTATAGTGAGAGCGCCATCTATAAAGTATGGTGTTGGAATAACTTTGTTTATAAATAAGTCTGTGCGTCCCTGTGTCGGTCAGTCGAATTGTTTCCGTCTGTGTGGGTAGGTCGATTATCCCTGTTAAATCGAACTGAA